ACCCCCGCCTCAGGCTGGCCCTACTGACTGTTATGCTGGGTGCATTTCTTTGATGGCTAGAAGCAGCAAAAGTAATTCTGTAGCCTCCAGAATGGAGTGGGCAAAAGCTTCTCCTTATCTTCCCCAAGTAGCACCCCCATGGGGTGCTAGCAGAGGTTGAACTAGCCAGAGAGAAGGGCAGCAACCTGGTGAACAGGGTATCAGTCAGGCCCAGTCCCCCTTCCTGTTTGTGGTCTCAAGTACGAGGGGGAAAGGGCACTGGGCCTGGCTGGTAAGCTCCTGGGAATGGGGGTGTGGGGAGTGTGAGGCGGCAGGGACTGGCCCTTTGGAAAAGCAAAGGCCTGGGAGAGGTTAGAGAGGGACACTGAAAGACTCAGCAACTGAGAGAGATGTTCATTCTCTGGCTCACTAAGAGGATACTTATGGGACACTCGGGCTGTATCCCAGCTCTTCTCACAACAGGCGAAAATCCCTGCTCCCGTGGGAATGACAGCCCAGAAGCGCCATAAGATGAGCAAATCACTGTCTGGAGGGATAAGGGTGGGGGAGCGGAGAATCCGGGGAGCCAACGTGTCAGAGCCTCTTTATCTGAGAGCTCCTCCCCTACTTATCCCAAGCCGAGGGTGGGAGCCGGGGAAATGGGGAGGGACCTGCGCCAGGGATCCGCGGGACAAATTTGCTAAGTTGGGAAGGAGGAGAGGACTAAGGCTCCAGCAGCCCCCGGCAGAAGACCCTCGGGTGCTGAAGAGGTCCCTGCGCCTCCATGCACCCTTGGGCTGCAGCCCAGGAAGCTCATTCGGAAGGTAGGCAGAAAATAGGAAAGGACCAATACCCAAGCTCCCTAGAACCTACCGGACCCCTCCGCTGAGTATGGGGTGGAGGTAAGGGAGCAGAGGATCGGGTTGCTGCCGCCCTAGGTCAAGAGACCTCCCCTTCTCGCGTCTCCCGGCCCTCCCACAACAACCGACAGTCCCTGGGAGAGTAGCCCAGCTGGGGGAGCCGAGGGTTCGCCGGTGCCAGTCGCCGCCGGGGCGCGCTCCGGTGCTGTGTCGGGTGGCACAGGCTGGCAGACACGGGCTGGTGCCCGGGCCCCAAGGGGAGGGGGCAAAAGCTGGCTACCCTCAGAGGCTATGTTTCGGCCCGCCCCTTTGCCTGGCATTTGGAGCCCGGCTCCCCACCCGCAGAGCCAGTAGAGTCCATTCACTGGGCTCAAGGCTGTGTGACTTCGGGGGACACACAATCAGGGCGCAGGGGTGAGTTCACAACTCCGGGTCCTTAGAGGTTCAGTTGCCCCAGGCTCTACCTCAGTCCCCTTCCCCAGGTTTCCCAAACCTTTCCAGGAAGCCTCTAGGAAGGGAGGGAAAGTTAAGAGATTTCCGGACTTGGTCCCCGGTCCTGCTGGGGTTGAGGTTCCCCAGAACCCCTGGCCTCTGGGCTGCGCCACTGTGAGTTTTGCTGTGTCTGTTTTGCCTACTAGCAAGCCCGGGGAGATGCTAGCGGGGCAGACAGAGGTTGTGAGCCTCTGCTCGAAGTTCCCATCCGAAGATGTAAGCCTGGTGGGGTGACTGATTCCCCTCCCCCAGCGGGTCTGAATCGGTGACACCCCGTCAGTCTGTATCTGTGCAAAATGTTTTCCTTTGTGCCACTGAAGACTTCTGGGATGCATTTGTTCCTTCCAGGTCCCATTAAATCCATGCCCCTCCTAGTCCTCGATTTTCTTACCTGTTTAGTGGGCCCAATGCAATTGAGTGATCGTTCCAAGTGACTGTTTCTTGGGGGAATGTGAAAACCTTTGTCGCTGCCTCTATGCCAGTATTACTTTGGAGCCTCAGATTCCTCTTCTGTAAATTGGGGCTAAGGAGACAGTTGTCAAGAGGATTAAAGGGCACAGTGGCAGGCAGCAAGTATTAGTATACATGAGTGGCATGTGTGCCCCTCTGCCAGAGCCTGTTTGTGGGATGTGGGTCCTGTTGGCTGCTCTCTGGCAAGCTCTCAAGGGGGTTATGCGGTGGATAAGGGACTTTGGCAGAAAATGGCAAGGTGTGTGGGACTTTGGACTGCCAGTCTGTGTGTGGGTGACGGTTGTGAAAGTATGTGACACCCCATGGCCCTGTGTCTCTTCCTGTGTCACTCTGTTCATGTGAATGCATTTGTTTGTTTCCCTGATGGAGTGTTGTGTATTTTGTCATTGTTTGTGCCTATGTGTACATGCCCTTGTTGGTGATTCTCTGTATTTGTGTGTCCCTTTCTCTGTGTGGTTGTATTTCTGTGTATTCTTGTCTGTTTCCAATTGAATATACCTCTGGATACCCAGCAGGTTTGTGAATTACTAGGTCTTTTTTTGTGTGTGAACTGTTAGTGTCCTTTCTATGGGAGAGTTTGACACTCTGTTTCCTCATATTATTTGGGTGTCTGTATTTTGGTCAGCCTATCTCCATAGACACCCCCCTTCCAAGCAGAATACCCTCAGGGTTCCAGTGTGCATAGGGGTGGTAGGCAGGCAGTTAGTGCCTCGCTTTTGAGCTGCCACCCTTAACCCTAGCAACCAGGAGCCCTCCCCCGGTGTGGGCCAACCCGCGGGTCTGAGGGTATGCTGGGTCTGACACTGTGCACCACTTCTCCGCAGCCTTGCCGTGGCGGCCCATGGAGTCGGGGCTGCTGCGGCCTGCGCCAGTGAGCGAAGTCATCGTCCTGCATTACAACTACACTGGCAAGCTCAGAGGTGCCCGATACCAGCCAGGAGCCGGGCTGCGAGCTGACGCAGTCGTGTGCCTGGCGGTGTGCGCGCTCATCGTGCTGGAGAACTTGGCAGTTCTGTTTGTGCTCGGTCGCCACCCGCGCTTCCATGCGCCCATGTTCCTGCTCTTGGGCAGCCTCACGCTGTCCGACCTGCTGGCGGGCGCCGCCTATGCCGCCAACATCCTGCTGTCTGGGCCACTCACGTTGCGCCTGTCGCCGGCGCTCTGGTTCGCGCGCGAGGGAGGTGTCTTTGTCGCGCTCGCTGCATCGGTGCTGAGCCTCCTTGCCATCGCTCTGGAGCGCCGCTTCACCATGGCGCGCAGAGGACCTGCGCCGGCTGCTCGTCGGGGACGCACGCTGGCGCTGGCTGTCGCTGCCTGGGGTGTGTCACTGCTTCTTGGGCTACTCCCGGCTTTGGGCTGGAATTGTCTGGGCCGCCTAGACACTTGCTCCACGGTCCTGCCTCTCTACGCCAAAGCTTACGTACTCTTCTGCGTGCTAGCCTTCGTCGGCATCCTGGCAGCCATCTGCGCGCTCTACGCTCGCATCTACTGCCAGGTGCGGGCCAACGCTCGGCGCCTGAAAGCGCGCCCCGCGACTGGAAGCGGCTTCTCCACCCGCCTACGCCGCACACCCCGGTCGTTGGCGCTTTTGCGCACGCTCAGCGTGGTACTCTTGGCCTTCGTGGCCTGTTGGGGGCCCCTCTTCCTACTACTGCTGCTTGATGTGGCCTGTCCCGCGCGTGCCTGCCCGGTGCTCCTGCAGGCTGACCCTTTCCTGGGCCTCGCCATGGCCAACTCGCTCCTGAACCCCATTATCTACACGTTGACTAACCGCGACCTGCGCCACGCTCTCCTTCGCCTTGTCTGCTGCGGTCGCCATCCCTGCTACAGAGTCTCAGGTGCCTCCCGGCGGTCAGGGACCGCTGCTGGGGCTTCGGGTGGCCTGCATCGTTGGCTACCCCCTGGCGTGGACGGCAGCTCCAGCCGCTCAGAGCGCTCGTCACCTCAGAAAGACGGATTGGACACTAGAGGTGACACAGCCGGACCCGGCGCATTGACAACCTCCCGGACCCTAGTTCCTGCTCCTGCCGCAGATTGACGTCTTCTGGCTCTCCGCTACTCTCAGAAATGTTTTGCAGAAACTTTCTTTTTAAATAAAGGGATTTAAAAGCCGGAAAAGCAAAGATAGTGGAGGCGGGAAGAGACACGGGGAAATATCTTCTACTGACGCTAAACTCCGCAGCAGTGAATAATAGACAGAACTCCTTGTCTTTGTGGAATTCATGTTCTGCATTCCACAGAGGCAATAGTGGAGTGAGCTACGGAGATAATTTTAGTGACATTACAATGATGTGATGGTGGTCAAGAGATGCCTTTCTGAGGTGGCTACTTGTGGTGTGAATCAAGACATATCACATGGTCCTAGGAACCCCTGAAGGAAGATCATTTTATGAGGTTATAGCAGGTGGGATGGCCTTAAGGCAAGAATGTTTGCCCTTAAGTTCCATAAAAAGCATGGATCCCCTGTGGAGAGAAAACAAAGGTTTGGAAATGACTGGGCAGATGATGTACTCACTTGTCTGCCCAGGGAAGGACTTTATTTTTGTTCTGAATGAGGCCATGGAAAGCCATGGAGGGTTCTAGACAGAGGAGGGACTTGATCTGCTTCAGACTTTCACAGATGTCTCTGCTTTTAGTAGGGGGCAAAGATGGAAGAACAAGATTGAAAGTGCCTGCACTGACCCAGGAGGTGATGACTAAGACTCAGACAATGAGGATTCTGGATACACTCTGAAGGCAGTGGACAGGGGACTTGAGTTGGGAATGAGACAGGAAACAACGAGACAAGAATAACTCTTTTGCATAGAGAAGAGGAACACAAAGTTAGGGCACCCTAGAATTTGACTTTGGGAGATTCAGCCAATTCTTACATAAAACAAGATTTCTTTGAGCATGATGTTAGATCCTTCATAAAAAGATAATAAAGTAATAAGCACAATTACAGCTTATTGTGCCTGGTTAGTCCCCCACACACACTAGTAACCCAGAATATGCTTATTTCTACTTTTACCAGCAACCTTGCCAGTTAGATTTACTCACCAGCATTTGGCAGATAAGAAAACTCCAAGCAGTACCTTGCCACTGTGTCTGAACCCAGACAGTAGGCGGGGCTGTCAGGTTCCCACGTCTGGGGAGGCTTGGGGCAGTTGTGTGGCTCCTTGGGAGGAGTCTGGCAGGCTCAGGGGTCTGCATTCTCTGCGGGGAGGGTGCTGTATTAGGGTCTCATTTATGCCCATAAAAGGCTCCAGACGCTCAGACCACAGCCCGGATCTATCCCAAGGGGCATTCTTGTCTCCTGTTTCCAGACGTGAGGGGGGAGGGGGACGGGGAAGCGGGGCTAGTGTACCCTTCGGTCTCAGATTGCGCGCGCCACCTTCCGAGATACTGCGGAAATGCAGGCAGCCGCAAAGACGTGTTTTGGGTGGTCACATACATCTTGGGAGCCTGAACCTCCACTCACCACACGCAGATTGTCCCTATAGGCCATACCCATGGGAAGCCAGCTCATTTCCTGGGGGGGAAAAAAGACATACTCAAGCCTAGTATCACAGTTCCAAGATGTTTCTTTCCATTACTGGGTCCAATTCCCCACCAGGCCTGGCGTCCCTACCCTCAAGTTCCTTCTACCTTCTGGAAAAACTTGAGACACCACTCCATTGTTCCTGGTGTAATGATAGGAAATCTATTCACTTACTCACATTTTACAAAATTAAAAAAAGTACTGGTTATCTTTCTTCAATGCAATCACTGTGGAATTTTCCAGAGCCATTCTATAGAAAAATGAACTGAAATGTAAATACATTGCTTCTCCATTTACATAACTTTAATACTGCTCTGCATCTTGCATTGTCTACTTTATAGTATATCTTGGAAATGACTGGAAATCCCCACTTTTTGCACTGTCTTGCTAATGTAAATCAAAAACTGTGTGACTAACAGCAGAATATTATTTCTCACAGTTCTAGAGGCCACAGGCCTGAGATCAGGATGCCAGCAAGGCTGGATTCTGGCAAAGGCTGTTACTTGGTTTGCAGAAGACCACCTTCATATTGAGTCCTCTCTGTGGAGAAAGACCATACTCTGGTGTTTTTCTTAAAGAGCACTAATACCATCAAGGAGACTTGACTCATCTAAACCTAATTACCATCCAAAACCCCATCTCCAAGTGCCATCATATTAGTGTTGGACCTTCAACATAATTTATGGAAAAACAAAATTTATTTATGCATACAGAACTGGGGTTTAGGCCAGAGGTACAGGGGCAGTGAGAGGATTCACCAGAGACAGAGTGGGAAACAGAACAGGCAGATCCACAAAGTACACTGCTGAGGGGAGCAGCAGGCGGGTCAGGAGAGGTCTGCCTGGCCATGTGGGTCACCTCCAGGGCCAAGAATGGAACTTTCACTGAGGCGGCTGTGGCCAGCTTGCAGTGCTGCGTCCTAACCTGTTCCACCACCAGGGAGGGCTCCATAGCACTTGTTCTTTTTTTTGATGATGTTGTTACATTAAAAAAGAGGTAAATACAGCAAAATATTTTCCTTTATCTGGCTGCATAGTATGCCACCACATTGATGTGCTGCTTATTACCCCAGAGCCCTAGAGAGGGATATGAGTCCAATCCAGATGAGTCCAATCCTTTACATTATACAAAACAATGCAATTAACTCCTGTGTACATACTCTCGCACTTCTGTGTACCCTGAAAAAATCTCTACAAGTGGCACATCTGGGTGACAGGTTATTTTCAGATACATGAAGTTGCCTTCGGGGCCTTCCAGGAGACTGTAGGTTTCCCCAGTCACAGCCACTATGTGTTTCTATATGTTTTGGGGGTTACTAATCTGTCTTGGGGGCTGGGCCTCCACCCTCCTATCATGGTACCCCTTTGGAGCAACCCAGAACTGCATTTTCATGCCAAGGGGATGTCTAGGAAGGAACAGGGCAGCTCCTTAGCCTCCCACTTGAGTTTAGTTTCAGATCCCCAGTACCCAACGCTGAATCCTCCAAATTCACCCTGGAGGCTGGTGGAAGCCTTTCTTAGACCAACATATGTTCAGCCTAGCCTTTCCTTTTCTAATTCATTTATTTTTCATCGAGACAAACAACAACAAAAACATCTCAAATTTATTTAAAAGCTAACTTTATATCAAAAACAGCATAAATGGCAAATTACTATTGCTTGCCATAAAAAATAACCATATTTAATGGCATAGCAATCACATTTAGTCCCCACTATAATCTAGCGGGTACGGGTTATTATTATTATCACTGCACAGGTAGGAAACGAAAGCATAGAGGTTAAATGACCGACCCACCCGCTCTGACCCAGAGAGTGACTGTGCCAGGAGTCCAAACCCCGCAAGCGAGCTGTGCGCGACTCAAGATCACAAAGTAACTAAAACACCATCATAAGTAGCAGAATCGTGCAAGCGCTGGGCCTTGAGGCTTTAATGGAAGACTAGGTCGTAGAATGTAGCCCGGAGCTGAAAAGACTAAATCGAATGGATGGTAGGGACGGCGCGGAGCGGGGCCTGGCCTGACCCAGAGCTCTCTTCCGACGCCCCATCCTCACTCTCGGGCGCGGGGCACCTGAGGGGAGGGCGGGGAATCACGGCTCCTTCCCTGCCGCACCCTCTCCTCTCTCTGCCCGCCTCCTCGCTGGCGTCCCCCTTCCTACGACTGAGACCCCGCAGGCCGCACCGTCTCGTAGCCTGAGTGCCTGAGGCTTAGCGCTCGCGGGTACCCGGAGCGAAGATTTCGCGGGAGCCGACTCCCGTCCGGCTGCAGCCCCTCGGGTTTCCCGGAAGCGCGGCGCGCGGGTGGCACTACATCTCCCGGCCGCTGGCATCCCCACCCTGCAAGCGAGAGCCACTGAGGTTACAGCGGGGCCGAGGTGAGAGCGCAGGCGAAGAAGGGTGTCCGTAATTCTGGGTGCGAACAAGGGCCACGGACCTCGAACCCAGGCCACTGATTCCCGAAGGCTCCGACCATGCGGCTGGGTCCGCCGAGGGCTGCGGTCCCTGGTTCCGCCGCTCCGCCGAGACGGGCGCTGTGGTCGCCGCGCTGGGACCGCGCAGCCTGGCGACAGCTGGATGGGGGGCAGGGAGCGGCCCCTCTCTAGTCTTCGCCGCCGGAGGCCCGGGGCCGCGGGGACTTTTATTCTGACACGGCCGGCGCCCGGCTCTGCTTAGTCATGGTGACCCGCGCGCTCTGCGCCTCCCCCCGCGCGGCGATGGAGGCACCCGGGCCTGGGCGACGGAGGCGGAGCCCGAGCACAGCCATGGCGGGGTGAGTGAGGCGGCCTGCGCCGAGGCTGAGGCCACGGTGGGCCATAGGCGCCCCGGCGGCCGCGCCCGGGGGCTGGGGAAGCGGGCGCCACCGGCCCCGTCGCGTCGGGATTCCCGCGGCCCCGCCGAGGGCTCGGAGGGCGCGGCTCGGGTCCGGTCCTTTTGTTGGACGGCGCGACTCTGGGTGGCCTGGGGGCTACACGAGTCAGGAGAGAGGCCCAGGGAGCGCCGCTCGGTTTGGCGGGGGACCCCGGGACTTTGGGGAGTTTGTTCTGCGCTGTGGGCTTGGCTGCCGAGAGACCGCTACGGGGTCACTTCCTCCCTTCTCCAGGCCTGGCTGGCTGCTCAGGCGAGGCATGCGCAGTTTCCCACTGGTAGACTCGTGGGGGGAAGAGCCAGGTGCCCAGGGGCAGCGCTGACCGATCGGCTTGAGACTGAGAGGCAGACCCGGGCCTCAGTGGGGGAGAGACAGCCAAACGGTGCGCTGTGCCCGGTGGGGGAGGGTGTGCTGGCAGAGAAGGCAGAATGGGCAGTCAGCCAGCCACACTTTAACTGACCCCTGCTCAGTGCCAGGCCCCTGGCAGGACGTGGGGGAGGCACGAGAAGGGTGGGCACAGCTCGATCTCACAGAGGCCGCCCTGCACTCTGAAGTGTTGGGTGGGGCTGAGGTCCAAAGGGAGGCATACTTCTCCAAAAGAAAGCACAACATCCTTTCAGCTCCTGACAAGTACAATGATGAAAATAAAACAGGGAGGAGATGATTCTGCACTGAGCCCCTGGAAAGATAAATGAAGAAACTGAAGAACCTCCCGCAGACCCTATGCTCACCGCCCTCTGCCCCCCACTCCCCCACATCTCCCTGTAGGACCTTTCAAAAACCCCTCAAGCCACAGTCCTCCAATCTTCAGTTTTCATGGAAACTCCTTTTTGTAGTAATCATCCTTCATTATACTTTTTCCTGGTTCCTTCGCTTTTGTTTTTCCCTTTGCATGAAAAAACTAACCCCTTCACCCTCTTTTCATATGTTCTTTCTCAGCTTCTACAGAGGCCTAGACCACCTTATTTAATGTAATGGCCTCGAAGTCCCATTGTCATGATGCTGCTGTCATTTTCATGACCTTGTTTTCTGTTCAAGTCTTCTTTAGTTTATTTCTGGTCCTTTTCTCCCCAAGAATTTTTGTCTGTCTTGCTCACTGGTGCCTAGAACAGGGCCTGGCATGCAGTGAATATCCAATAAATGCTGGTGAGGTAAATGAAGGAATGAAATTGACATGCTTTATGAAGGGAAGGGCCACTGGATCGCTGGAACAGAATGAGCAGAGGGGAAAGGTAGGCAGCAGCTATTTGAAGAAGGTCTTGCAAGTCACTGAAGAATTGAGTTGCATGCTTTATGCCATTGGGAGTTGGGGGGATTCTGAGCAGGGATGGGATATCATGTGATCAAGGTTTTAAGATGAATCCTTGGGCTGTGGAGGCCACGGAGCAGTTAGCAAGAGCAGTTAGCAAGATGAATGCTGCTTCACCCTGGGCTTGGGATGGAAAACTGATCTAAGATTTGCTTTATCTTAAAAAAGAAGATCTAGCCTCAGGCCCTAGCCCTGTGCTCTCCCTCTTCCAGGCCCCTGAGTGCCAGTGGTGGTGTTGTGCCTTGTTACCTGGAACTCCATGCAGCCAGAACCCAGGCCTAGCGGGGCTGGGGCCCACAACCGATTTTTGCCCCTGCAGTCACAGCGCCCAGAGGGGTCAGGGGACGCAGTGATGTATGCTTCTACTGAGTGCAAGGCTGAGGTGACACCCTCTCAGCATGGCAACCGCACCTTCAGCTACACTCTGGAAGACCACACCAAGCAAGCCTTTGGCATCATGAATGAGCTACGACTCAGCCAGCAGTTGTGCGATGTCACGCTGCAGGTCAAATATGAGGATGCACCAGCTGCCCAGTTCATGGCCCACAAGGTGGTGCTGGCCTCATCCAGCCCTGTTTTCAAGGCCATGTTCACCAACGGACTGCGGGAGCAGGGTATGGAGGTGGTGTCTATTGAGGGCATCCACCCCAAGGTCATGGAGCGTCTCATCGAGTTTGCATACACAGCCTCCATCTCCATGGGCGAGAAGTGTGTGCTCCATGTCATGAATGGTGCAGTCATGTACCAGATTGACAGTGTGGTTCGTGCCTGCAGTGACTTCCTGGTGCAGCAACTGGATCCGAGTAATGCCATTGGCATCGCCAACTTTGCTGAACAGATCGGCTGTGCTGAGCTCCACCAGCGTGCCCGCGAATATATCTACATGCACTTTGGGGAGGTGAGCAAGGAAGAAGGGACCTGGGGCCCGGGTTTGGGGGTGGTTTCAGTAGGACCAGGGAAAGATGAGTGGTCATCACTGATCTCCTGGGATGCTGGAGAAAAATAGGGTTCTGAGCTTCTATTCTGCACATCTGGGGTAATGCTGGGAAGTGATCAAAGAAAGTGAGGCTTCCATGGGTCTCTGACGTCAAGGGCAGAGACAGAGAGCAGTGAATTTGAGAGCAGCTCTGCCCTGGGGTACACTGAGCTAAGCCCTACATTTCAGGCAGTCAGCAAATACTCATTGCACACACATGACATGCTGTTGACTGTAAATGTGACCCTTAGAATGTTTTCTTTGGTCCACAAAATGTTGTCCTTATGCTGTGCTTGGTTTCATTTTCACTTTTAACTGGAGGAAGTTGTGAATAGAAAATAACAGGAGGGTTCTTGAAAAAATCTCAGTAATGAATCTGAATTCTTATGTGTGATACATGAAATGAAAGTATTGAGCACTTACTGTGGGATTGAGCACCTGTTCTAAGTGATCTCCATCTTTTAATTTGTTGGATCCTCCCAGCTGCCCAGTCCTAGGATTTAGTACCATCCTTAGTGTCCCATGCCTTGAGGTGCCTCCCTAGAAATTTTCAAAGCCCAGCTCCAGTGACTGGAACTCCCTGGGTGGACACTACCCTCATCTCCATTCCCTATTGTGACATTAGTGCTAGGGACTATGGCTTCTAAGAAGTTGCCCAGAAAATAGGACTCATCAACTGACCTATACAAATGTTTCTTTCGTGGGGTTGTGTGGGCGGGGGATGCGGGGGTTCTCAAAGTGGTGGTGACCTGCTGATTGTGGAGAAACCAAAATTATTTATGTAGACTAGTATTGGACAAGAAATATTTTCTCAGGGGCTTTTTATGCCTAGGGGTAGTCCTGACAGTTGCTAATACAATCCCCTTTTACAGAGGAGGAAGACCAAGGCACAGAGCATTTCAGATATTTGCCCAAGGTCACACAGTTAGGAAGTCATGGGCTAAAGCGCAACTCAGGCTGCTTTCTTACTTTTATCCTTGCTTTTACTTTTTCCTTTTGAATTAATTGACTTGTTTAAAAAGTAATTTCATTTAAAAAATAGGTAATGTTATAAAAACTTTTTTGATACAAATGTCACATTTGACCTCGCATATGGTATTAACACATTTAATTCTCACACTCTATGAGTCTCATATTATTTGAATCCCCATTATATAGGTGAGGAAACTATGGAGTGATATCATTAATGCCATTGAGGGGTGGTGGGGGAGGGGACACACGTGAGTGCCCATCTTGCTAATGCTGTCTGCAGGTAGCCAAGCAAGAGGAGTTCTTCAACCTGTCCCACTGCCAGCTGGTAACCCTCATCAGCCGGGATGATCTGAATGTGCGCTGCGAGTCCGAGGTCTTCCACGCTTGTATCAACTGGGTCAAGTACGACTGTGAGCAGCGGCGCTTCTATGTGCAGGCGCTGCTGCGGGCTGTGCGCTGCCACTCGCTCACGCCCCACTTCCTTCAGATGCAGCTGCAGAAGTGTGAGATCCTGCAGTCGGACTCCCGCTGCAAGGACTACCTGGTCAAGATCTTCCAGGAGCTCACTCTGCACAAGCCCACGCAGGTGATGCCCTGCCGGGCGCCCAAGGTGGGCCGGCTCATCTACACAGCTGGTGGCTATTTCCGCCAGTCCCTTAGCTACCTGGAGGCCTACAACCCTAGTGATGGCACATGGCTCCGGTTGGCGGACCTGCAGGTGCCTCGTAGTGGCCTGGCAGGCTGTGTGGTGGGAGGGCTGCTGTATGCTGTGGGAGGCAGGAACAACTCCCCTGATGGCAACACCGACTCCAATGCCCTGGACTGCTACAACCCCATGACCAACCAGTGGTCACCCTGCGCCCCCATGAGTGTTCCACGCAATCGAATTGGGGTTGGAGTCATTGATGGACACATCTATGCTGTAGGCGGCTCCCATGGCTGCATCCACCACAACAGTGTGGAAAGGTGAGTGACAGGGCCAGGGGGAGGGCCCCCAGGGTCCCACTGCTAGCAACTCCCATGCCATAAGATCTGTGAAGTCCCCTTGCTTGTCTTTGCATCCCACTTTCAAGGTGTAGAAACTTTAAGTCCAAGCAAAACTACTGGGATGTTTATGATTGGTGACCTGAGGTGATGTCCCTGGGCCTGGGAACTGCTTACAGGGCTGTCACAAACCCACACAGCAATTTTGTGACAATCTTTTGAGATCATTGCAATATGCTAATTTTGTTAAAACATGATACCTCATTGTTATCTACCCCTGAATTTTTTTTAAAGATTTATTTATGTATGCATATAGAACAGGGGTACAAGCCAGAGGTGGGGGTGAGAGGATTCACCAGAGACAGAGAGGGGACCAGAACAGGCAGATCTGGGAAGTGCACTGCTGAGGGGAGCAGCAGGAAGTGCACTGCTGAGGGGAGCAGCAGGTGGGTTAGGAGAGGTCTGCCACACCATGTGGGTCACCTCCAGAACCCTGGGGCTGGGGATCAAACTCACACTGAAGCGGCTGCGCTAGCTTGCAATGCTGCGTCCTAACCCGTTGCGCCAGCAGGGAGGGCCCTGCCCCTAAATTGTAATCAATAGGTGTGTTAGGTTGGGTGTGTGAGGTCAGTTATGCCTCCTAAGTGTGGTGCCTTTGTGCAGTGTACAAAGCGCCTGTGTGGAGAAACCAAGCATTTTGGACATTCAGCTTCTGTGTAGCCTGTTCTTTTGCTTCTCCTTTTCCAGAAATGTGATCCAGGATACAGTTGTCACCAAACTTGTTGAACTCTCTAACCCTTTACTAGAGATTCCAGAGATCTGGCATTGATGGGTTTGGGGTGAGGTTGAGTTTTAAACAGATACCTCATGGGCTGTGAATAAGATGATGGATGGCGCTGTACCCTTAGCAGGCCATTTTTGAGAAAAAAAAAAAAAAAGCACTGTGTTAATTACCCCAGGAGTGCAGGCATGAACTGGCAGTGCCTAGTGCCCAGATCAACTGGGACATGATATGGTCACCCGTCTTTGAGCATCATACTTTGAGAAAACTCTCTGAGGCTTCAATTAGTTGTTAGAACTGAGGTTCTGGTCACTTTGTGGGCTGGCTCAAAACCCAGCTCTGCCACTTCCTTGGTGACCCTGAACATGCTACTTTACTTCTCTGTGCCTCCATCTTGTCAACAGGCTGGGTTGAGCTTGGTGACAACACAAATAACAGCACAAGGCCTGGCAGTGACTTAGGCACTAGGGTCCAGCAGGCATGCATGCGACCTTGAGCAGATGACAGCTGCAAACCTCAGTTTCCAACTGGAAATTGGAGCTACCAATGGCTTGCTCCTTGGAGAATGGTTTTGAGGATTAAAGATCAAATGTATACAGAGCTAGCAGAGTAGTGGGCTGTCATCAGTGTTCCACACAGGTCAGTTATGATGCTGTTTTCATTGTTATTATGACTCTACAGGTATGAACCAGAGCGGGACGAGTGGCACTTGGTGGCCCCAATGCTGACAAGAAGGATTGGGGTGGGAGTAGCTGTCCTCAACCGCCTGCTCTATGCTGTTGGGGGCTTTGATGGGACGAACCGCCTCAACTCGGCTGAGTGTTATTACCCAGAGAGGAACGAGTGGCGAATGATCACACCCATGAACACCATCCGGAGTGGGGCAGGTGGGCAGGGCTGTGGTGGGGAGGGGAGCCTGAAGGAACACGTTCCACCCTGGGGATAACCTAGCCCAGCCTGAGTGCTGCTTCCATTTCAACTTTGAATCCTGTGTGGGTTCACACATGAGAGCTAGAGATTCTGACCGATTCCAAGCTTCTGTCTCCCAGCCTTGTTTCTAAGGGGTATCTCAGGAGAGAAGTGAAGGGAGGGCCCCCCCAAGGAGATGGTGACTGGGCCAGGCCCTGGAGCAGTCACCTTCTCTACATGGTGTGCTCTAGGAGTCTGCGTCCTGCACAACTGTATCTATGCTGCCGGGGGCTATGATGGGCAGGACCAGCTGAACAGCGTGGAGCGATACGATGTGGAGACCGAAATGTGGACTTTCGTAGCCCCCATGAAGCATCGGCGAAGCGCCCTAGGGATTACTGTTCACCAGGGGAGAATCTACGTCCTCGGTGAGGCCCTGGGGATGGGCAACTGGGTGGACAGGTCTTGTGCTCCAATCCTGGTCAGAAGGCTCCTCCAGGCTTCTTCCTCCTCTTTCTTTCCCTGTCCTCTCAGGGAGTGACCTTCCCCTCCACTCTTCCTGCAGGAGGCTACGATGGCCACACATTCCTGGACAGTGTGGAGTGCTATGACCCAGACACGGACACCTGGAGTGAGGTCACCAGCATGACGTCTGGCCGGAGTGGGGTGGGTGTTGCTGTCACCATGGAACCCTGCCGGAAGCAGATTGACCAGCAGAACTGCAACTGTTGAGCCACTTTTGTTTCTTGAGCAAAAATCTGGTCCGATGGAGAGTATTGTCATTTTTGTACAAAAACAAAAGCAAAGGACACAGAGCCAGTGCTTATGCTTTAGGATGAGGGGCTGGGACGCCTCAGTGCTAAATGACAACTCGAAAGAAAGGAAGGCCAGAGCGGGAACCCATGAAGAGAAACCCAGAGAACTGCTTGGCAGGGGGTGCGGAAGGGGTTCCCCGGAGAAAGGCCCCCCACCTGCTGTGCTGAGACTAGGTCTGGGGCCCACAACAGCAGCCACTGCCTCCCATTGGGGTGAAACCAAGTGCTGAGGTAAAGTGTCTCTGTGATTGGATCCCGGAGGTCTGGGAAGGGGCCAAGAGAGCCCTTCTGGAGGGCTAGATCCTAAGGATGGGCCTGTACATAGAAACCACTGGATATCTCTGCCCTGGACAGCCATTTTGTTGATAAGCAACCTTGTAACTTTCCAATGAAAATAAAAAACAAACTAACTAGTGTCTTCTGTTCAGGCTTTCAGCTGGAGGTCTTGAACTCAGGGACAGAAAGGACTCTTCTGAAATGCATTCAAATTTTTGCTTTAGTTAGACTTGTATTTGAAACCAGTTATCTCTGTATCTGGACATCTAGGGCATCCTCTTTCCCCATAGACCCAGCCACACAGGGCTCACTTTGTCAGTTTCACCTGCTTCAAAGACACTGACCTAACTTTTTGACATTTTCCCTAGGACTCCCTGAGATCAATTTCGTATAGGTATACAGATTTTTTTTAAAATTTATTTTATAACAGTTTATTTTTACATCATTTTGTACATTTTTTTTCTTCATCTCAATTGTAATCCCCGCAGGTTTCCCATCACCAAGTCACCCGTGTGCCATCACCATAGTCCCATGCACTTCCCTCCCCACTCCCCACCCCCTTACCCCCATTTTTGATCCCATTCCCCACTCCACCCCCACAAAATGTCTCTGGTATATGGCTGTTCATTATTCTTATTATTTTCTCTCCTGGTCCATTATTACTTCTGCTATGAGCGAAACCATCTGGTATTTTTCTTTCTCTTTCTGGCTTATCTCACTAATGTATACAGATATTTTAAGGCAAACCATCTCCAACATGCCGTTCATACTTAGAGCAAATCTACCTGGCCATTTTTATGAGCTACTGTAAGACTGAGCCCTTTATTTAGTTCACTGTGTATTACAAGAGAAAGGGCCTGGGAATCTTCTTTGGCAAAAGTCCTTCTGAAGAATTTGTGCAAAGGCAAGATGCCACCCAGATTTGTTCCATCAATCAGCTTTTACTGTTGGGGAAGCAGATAAAAAAGGAAAGAAGTAAGGTCCCAGCTATAGAGGATTTCACAGATTCTATCCCTCCTGGGGGAAATCTGATGCCTCCCACCTGTGCAGATTCCCTTAGTTACCTGAAGCCTGCCTTAACTATTTGTTCCGGTCCTCACCCTCAGGATTTTAAGAAACAAAAATAGATTGATGTTGGCAACATTGCTGAGGACCAGGAATTATAAACATCTGCATAATCTTTTAGTAGTGGTAGAGTGATTCTACACATTTTCACTTGTTCCTCAGTAGAGCTGTGAGTTCAAAAGGGCAATCCTCAATTATTTACAGATGAGAAGCAAAGGTTCAGAGGAAGTGACTTACCCATGGTCACATGACCACTAAGTGGGGGAGTTTGGATTCCACACCACAGCAGACTTTCTCAGAAACTCCACCACTGCTTTTGTGAAAAAAGATATCAGAGGTGGGAGGGGGTAAAAAGGGGCAATTAATGTGTGTATAAGCAAAAGTTCCAGAAACATCATTCTAATTTAGAGTACATAGAATTTACATGTAGAGTGTTTGCCAGTAGCCATGCAGTAGTCTTGTCAAAGGTTCAAAGAGCTTTGAGCCCTGCTCTTGCCAGGTTTAGTTGATTCAGTACAAATAGGTCAGGTGAACAGTTTCTTAGCTGAAACAATGGCACTTGGGTACTTACTGGGCACTCCTGTGTGAGCTCCTGAACCAAAAAAGGTAAGTATATTTATTTTCTGACTCCACAATAAATTTTTGCTAGTCCTTGCTGTGATAGGATTGGGGCTATGGCAGTGAATAAGCCCCTAATGATCCCTGCCTTTATTGAGAGTACAACCTAGCAGAGGAATGTGACCAGCTCATCTTGTTTAATTTACCAGGGACTTGGGCCTCCCTAGAGGCACAAGGAGTTACATCTCAGCACTAGGAAGCTCTCCACAGGCACTGCAGCACAAGTTTTATCCCCGGCCAGGGGGCCAGGGAGGTTACCCACATGGCGCAACAGACCTCTCCTGATCCACCCACTGCTCCCTTCAGCAGTGTATTTCAGTCAATCTGCCTGTTCTGCTCCCCACTGTCTCTGGTGAATCCTCGCACATACACACACGCGCGCTCACACGCATGGCACACGCACACATACACACCACCTTTGGCCTATATGCTAGGTCTTGTATACATAACAAAAAAAATCTTTAAAGCAATAATTTACTTGGGACTTTCCCAGTTTGAATACTGAGAGGCAGGTCTCCAAGAGAACTCCTTTGTCCCAGGTAATCTGAGGCCACTGGTCACTCTTCTCCGTCAGCCTGTTGCTGAAGCATTGTGCTGGCAGGCAGATGACACACTTGGTGATTGGTGGCTGGTAGCTGGTGGCTGTAGATGCTAGGTAGCAATTGCTTAACTACGGATGAAAGTAAGGGGAGGGTCCAATAGGCAAGTGAGAAAGGATGCAAATTTGAAACTAGGCAGGTGGCTATGAGACTGGAAAGGAGCTACAACTAAAGCTAAAGAGATAGGTAGGTTAGACAGGAAGGACAAATAATTAGGAATGGAGTTCTGGGTGATTTCAGAGCTTCAATAGGCAGAGCAGGGAATGTTGGAGGAATCTGATGTTATTGAAGGGAAGTGATAATGATTTAGGATATGTTGGGTTTCAGGCTTCAAGGCAATTATTTTAGGAATGTGCATAAAATGTATAGCCCTCAGTCTTGATTATTTTATGTATTATATATATGTATATATATATATTTTAAAGATTTATTTACTTATGCATACAGAACTGGGGCATAGACTGGAGGTGCAGGGGTGGTAAGAAGATTGACCAGAGACAGACTGGGGAATAGAACAGGCAGATGGATGAAGTATACTGCTGAGGGGAGCAGTGGGAGAGACAAAAGGTCTGCTGTGCCATATGGGTCACCACTGCGGCCAGGGCCAGGGATCGAACTTGCATTGAAGTGGTTGAAGCTCACTTGAAGTGCTGTACTTCAACACATTTGCTATAGGATTCACCAGAGTAGGGAGTGAGGAGGGGCGTCAAACAGACATAGTAAACACACCACCAGGGAGGGCCCAATCTTGCTTTTCTATTCTGAAGACAGAGCTATTTATAAGCCGAGGGAAGTTCCAGTACAGAGAGATTACAGTGAAGGTAGAAGAAAGGAAGGACACATAGGGACCTTGAGCAGACAGCTTCTCCTCTCAGCTAACTGTGTTTAAAATAGAAATATTTGTGGAAATTTATATTATGGATAATAGGACATAAGAAAATTTTAAAGTGAAAGGATGCTCTAGAGGTAACAGACAAAGCTTGAGATCATTCTCCAGCACTTGGTGCAAATCTTGGTATCTCACTTTCCTCATCTATAAGAATAACAGTACCTAGCATCTGGCACAAATTGTAATACAGTAAAGACAGTGCAACTGGCTAGAAATGTGGTAAATGCTGAAAACCTGAAATGCTAGTGTTAATCTGAATGATCAAAGTTGTTAAGGTAAGAAAGACAGTGACAACATTTAATAACTATGGAGCACTTGGGGTTACTTAAAGTGCTCACTGGCTCTCATTACCGGTAAAAATTCAGTGATTCCACCATCCCTTCTTATTTTCTGATTGTTTTGTAGCTGCCCAGGTCCCCCAGGGAGCTGTAAAAGGAGTGCAGCGCCCTCTTACGGAGAAAGAAAGTTAGGAAGGAACAAGTTGGGGCCTCAGGGTGTAGAATGCTCTGATCTTGGCTTGTTCTTTTAAATTATTTTCTAAAGGCTTATTTTATTTATTTATGCATACAAAAACTGGGGTCTAGGTCAGAGATGTTGGGGGTGAGAGAATTCACCAGAGACAGAGTGGGGAGCAGAACAGACATATTGACTGAACTCCACTGTTAATAGGAACAGTGGGGGAGACAGGAGAGATCTGCCTCGCCATGTGGGTCAGCTCCCTGGCCAGGGGTCAGACTCATGAACTCATACTGCAGTGGCTGGCAATGGATTATAGCACTGAGACTTTAACCCCTGCACCACCAGGGAGGCCTCTTGGCTTGTTCTGATTTTTTGTAATGTTTATTTATTTATGCATACAAGAACTAGGGTACAGGCCAGAAGTGGGGTGTGTGTGTGAACAGATTCACCAGAGACAGAGTGGGCAGCAAAACAGCGGATCTACTGAACACACTGCTGAGGGGGGCAGAGGGAGAGTCAGGAGAGGTCGGCCTGCTCCCTGGCCAGGGATTAACTTGTGCTGCAGGGACTGCAGAGAGCTTCATAGTGCTGTGCTTTAACCTGCTGTGCCACCAGGGAGGGCCCTCTGCTTCTTCTTCTTCTTTTTTAAAGGTTTATTTATTTATTCATACAGAACTGGGGTACAGGCCAGAGATACAGGGGCAGTGAGAGGATTCACCAGAGACAGAATAGGGAGCAGAACAGGTGGATGTACTGAAATACTCTACTGAGGGGAGCAGAGGGTGAGACAGGAGAGGTTTGCTACGCCATGTGGGTCACTTCTGGGGCAGGAGATGGAACTCACATTGAAGCAGCTGCGGCTAGCTTGCAGTGCTATGTTCTAACCCGTTGCACCACCAGGGAGCCTCTTCTTATTTTTTAAGTTAGCATCACTCAAAATTCTGGAACACTTGTATTTTTTTATAAATCAAATGCACCTGGGAAGCACACTATTTAAAGGACTTCCCCCACTGTGAGTGTCTGCACCACCTCAGGGCCGTAACTGATTTTATTATGTCACATTTTAAGCATGGTCTCCAAGAATCCCTTTTCAAACTATGATCTCAGGATCTCTGGAATAAAATCAGTTGATCTAAATAACTTTTGTTAATTCAAAATTAATCAGCCTAAGCTGCCTCTTTGGCTTCATATACAGTGGATTAGGAAAGTTAATAGCATTAGCCAAGAAATTGGTATTTCTCCTGAAGTCTCAGTGATTGTGTCATTGTATCTTTCATTTGTAGTCTATAGCTTCTGTGCCTACCATGTTCTAGGATTTTGCAGATACAACTGGATGCAGAAGTCATGACTTCTTTCCTCTTCATGCATAATCAAATGATAGAGAGAGATATTTGCATGGCTGTTCATTAATGGACCCTGAAAATTGCCTAGGAACAAGCAGTTTACAAAGGTCATTAACACATTTGTTTGATTGTCTTCATCATATTCTTCTATTCTTCTGTCTTGTTCA